CCAGCCAGATTAACGGTGCAGTATGTGCACAATGGAGGGTCTTCCCAGCCCTGCAAATCTATGTGGCAGTTCAAACTCAGAGCAACTGCTGTAGCTTGAGGGTGGCGTTGAGACAGCCATGGTGAGAAATCTTCATCTTGTCTTGAATTCTGCATACCTTAATGTTATTCTTGGCTTGGTAACAAATCCCAGAAAACCCTGTCGGGTAGGGGTCAGGAGATGATCCATGTTACACCATTTGTGCTTTTGAGCAAGCTTTATAACTTATCCCTTCTGTTTATTTTATTGGGTTTTTCCTTTTCTGTTTTTCTTCTGTGAATGATTTTTCTCTTGCTGTGAGTGCGAACTCTCTACCACTAACAGTGCTAATGTTGCATTCTAGAGAAGACCTATTTCAGTTTCTTGCACCACAAAACTGCTCAATAAGCAGTTTATTCTGCCTCTCAGTTCTTTCCGTACAGCAAGAGGGATGCACCTTCTTTCAGGTGCATCTTTTAAGAGATCTGTCATGGCTCTTTCCTGTTGTGAAGGCACGAGCTTTGTGGCTCTGTTGATGGATACGCAGCTGTCTTACTGCCATGCTTAGCTCATTAACTTTTAAATGCCTTACTGCAAGTTTGATACTCCATCAGAGGAAATGCACTTAGGCTTGATTCTCAAAGGAAAAGGAATTGCTTGAAAGGGATGCTTGAAGAGAAGAACAGGGCTGGCCTGCTGCAACTTCTTCACAAAATCTGCAGTCCAGTGGTGGAACGAGAAGGAAGTCTGGCAGAATGGGTGGTCAGAAGCACTTGATATCAGCAGTATTTCTCTACTGCCTGAGAAGTTCTTTGTCCCTTTTTTTTCCCCCAGCTTCCTACTATGGTAAGGTAAAGTAACAGTGAAGGGCTGTTGGACAGAACACGAGCCTTGTTGGCTTCTTCATGAAGCTTACCTCCTGGAGAAGCTGTTTTTCAGTGGAAAATGTGTTAGGGCAGGAGGATTTTGAGCTTCAAGGGCCTCAGCCAATGATACTGCATACTTTGGTTTGTGTTCCAAGGTCTTCTAGTAGAATCGGAGAGCTAAGTGTGGTCATATAGGGCTTGGTTGCACTCCTCCTTCTCAACAGTTCCTACCTAAGCGTCCTTCAGCAGGTTGTTCTTCTGTGTGCACGTGTCTGTGTTCTTACAGAACCAGGTTACTGGTGTGTAAGGTCCCTGGAAAGCCATTGTGTTTACAAAAGCATCTGTTGTCTTTGAAGCAAGGATGTCTACAGTGAGTTCCCGAGAAGTGGAACTTCATTAACAAAAATGCAGAAATGTTGACTTAGAAAAACTAAAGCATTTCAGCAGTTGTTCCCCAGGAAGCAGAGATAAAGTTGTTTTCACTCATAGTTTAATCTGACTCCATTCAGATAAAAAGATTTCTCATCATAGGTGAGAAATGTGGACGTTCCTTTATTCGAGCAGCAAAGCAACTTGAATAATTATATGTATGTCCTGAGACTTGGTGTATATTAATAACTGTCCTGTGACTTTTTTCCCCCTCCCTTGTTGCTTGGTCTTGCCTTTCTATTAAGATGCTTGTGACTGAAATGTTCAAGTTTAATAGATTTTTGTCCTAAAAGGGACAGAATTCCCGTGTTGCACATGGATTGTAGGGCTTTTTTTTTTTTTTTTTTTTTTTTGAATTAATTTCTGCCTCAAATCCCATAGCTGTGGATAAATATATCCAGTCTTGACCAGAAAATCTTGGCACGAGAAATCCAATAAAAGCTTGATATGCTGGTAGTGACTGCTTCCTGCTCATTGATGAGATCCCAGATGTTATGAATGTAAGTAGGGGCAGAGTACAGAGGGAATGTTGGTGGTCAGCCTGTGCTTCCCAAAGTGCCGCAGCCAGGGCCCTCGCCCAGGGAAAGCCTTGTGCTGGTCGTGTGCTGGGCTCTGTCTCGGTGTGCCCGTGTAAAACTGAGGGTGCCTTACATCTGGCTGAGCTTGACCAGCTTTCAGTTTTAGCCACTGGATCTCATGATGTCTTTCAGAAGCCATTTGCTCTTTTCTCTAGATTTGTTTTCTGGCCTCCTCTAGCTTTCCCCTTCCAAAGCAGTGTTTGATTGCATTTACTTTGCTGAGCAGCCCAAGTGACCTGGCCCCTTTGCTATTTACTGCTCTTCCCATCTTTGTATCTCCTGCAGATTTTATGACTGCTTTCTTCCAAGCCAGTGACCAAAATATTGAATGGCACAGGGCCAAGGTTCGATACCTGATGGACCTCAGTGCAGTAATTTCCCATTGACATAATATTTCAGGAACTGTCACTTAATTTTAATCTATGTGTATTGGGCTGATTTTTATTTTTTGGTTGGTTACAGTCAAAATATTTGGTAATGTGCCAAAAATGTTTCACGTATTTGATAGCATTATAGCAAATCTGTTACTGCTAATCACACTTTCAGGTTTATAACGTTAACATTAGATATTTTTCATGAGCCCACATTGACTGACACCATTTCTACTGTTAACTCCTTAGTGAGCTGTTCTGTGGATCTTGAAAACCTTTAGCAAGTTGAAACCTCAGTACCTGTGTGCTCAGTGTTTTGACATTTCAGAGGGATAACCATTTTTCCATTAAAAACAAGAACAAACAACAACAAGCAAGCAAAGAAACAAAATAAACCACCCACCTCAATAGTATTTGAAGGCGTTTAACTGAGGAGTGTGAAATAACTGATAGGTTTTGTTGCTGAATAGTTCTGTGCCGTTCTATTGAAGGTTTATGTACCACCATATTCTTACAGACTTCTTAAAGCTAATATGCATAAATGCCTTCTTTTAGGTTTCATATTTGCTTACCTTAAATCCATGTGGATCTCTTTGCTCAGACCTTTGTAATGCTTCTGGGTTTTGACGTGTTCTCTACATTCCTCTGCTGCTCCTCCAGCCTGTTGACTGTGACTGTAAGCGCAAAGAGGAGACAATTTATTTATTTTTAAGTAATACATTATTTCTTTTCTTGGTCGTCTTTAACAATGTAAGTAGTAGCAAACAGTAAAGACAAACTGTAGCCCTTTTATTTTCTTTACTGCTCTCAGATCTGGCTCCTGTTAAGTGGTTTATGCCTTACTGCTTTGACAAATTATGTGCATCTTATGTAGAGAGTATTAAATAACATGTTTAAGCTGTGCTGTTTCAAGAGGAAAAAAGCTTTGTTTGAGAAGCAAAACTCATGATGAACGTGTCAGTGACAGCCCAGAAATGTACCCACACCTCCTGGCCGTCTCTGGCTTTTAAGGGGGAGAATGTGTGTTTGGTTAATCTGTGCAGCCAGTGAAGTCCTCTCCTCAATCATCAGCTTCTCCAATAGCTTCTCTGGGAGCCTCTCAAGAGAGAGTCAATGGAAGAACTCTCTTCTGTAAGGCAGAAGGCAGTGTGAAGCTCCAACTGGATCTCTTCAAGGCTTGAAGATAAGCTGTTGTGGTCTTGAACTGTGAGCCAGTAAGCTTCATTTAAAGTTTATATTTGTGCCTTGAAGTATTTGGTTAAAGGAGAGAGGATGAAAGTGTCAGAAAAGATGAAAATGAAGTAGTGAAATTTGACCATGCAGGAAACTGAATGCTCAACTTTTTTTCAGTTGGATTTTCTGTACAGTTTGAAAATGGCACATCCATATTCTGATTATTTTTTTTGTCAGAAGATATTTTAAAGAATGGAGTTCCTCAAATGCTGCTTTACTTTTAGAGCCAGTAATTGCCAAATTGTAAATAATGCATGTAATTATCTGTGAATTTAACAGCATATTCCACCTCTGCTTCAATACAAAGAGTTTTCTTTGTTCTCCTGGTTTCTTTTTAATTTTTTTTTTTTAATTTTGCCAACTCTCCATTTGCTGCAAAGCCTACGAAGATGGAAAGCTTTTTTTTTTTTTTAAAGCTTTGCTGATGTTTCATTTTTATAGAAAGTATATACATAATAAAAATTTTTACACAGGCACCCAAAATATGTTTTTCTTTTAGTGGGTCACGAGGAACATAAGGGTTAAAAGCGTGACTGCTTTAATTGTGGTGCTGGAAAGCGGAAGCCCCTAAAATCTTGGTGTCTTTCCCCCTTTTGCCCTGGTGCCATTCAGTTGTCCTGCCCCTGTCCCACTGGCCCCGCTGGGAAGGTTGAGGCGCTGAAGTGCAGATGATGAAAACATCATCTGCATTTAGGAATTTAGCAGAGGCAGCCATGTTAATTTGTGTTCCACTTGAAATGCAGGGAAATATCGTCTGCCAAATGGACAGTCAGTGGGAAAAGAAATGTTCTTTTCGAGCTTCCAACAGTAGTGACAATGGAGAGAAAAATACTACAGAAAGTAGCAGCTCCTTTTTCAAGATTTTGTTTTCGATGTATTATGCATGATGAGCCACACAGAGTGCACAGTTGTTCTTTTGGAGCCCTAAGTGACTGAGTATTACGAGGCAGGGCTTAGATTGTCCTTACTGCATTGCACCTTGCGTTTGGGGGAATAGAGCTTGGCTTCACGGCAATTTCACCAGTCTTTAGTATAATTTTTGAATACATTCATGCTTCCCTTATTTGCCTTTTTTAATGTCAAGCATTGCACATAAGATGTTCTGCTGTTGCTATGCAACTGCTAAATCCAATATTTAATATTAATAAAAACCGAGTGGCATTAGCATCACTGAGAACAGTGGGCTAGCAAACTATGATTGTACAACATCCAAGCTGTAAAACTTGGCAGGGACTTCAGTGTGCGATTGCGTGCATGGCAAACTGTGGGGCATGAGTCACTGGCAGTTACTATTTTAAGAGTGGTGAGTTTGAGTAAAATTCTGAGCTCCCTTGAATTTTATTTATTTATATATGCGCTCTATTTTGAACAGAAAGATGAGGCATGAGGTTGGTTGGCTGTTTCATTTCAGGTACAAGTTCGGAGGGGTCGCTACACGTGGAAGGGTCAGCGTTATAAACCTCTGGGACAATTCCCTGATTCTCCTGTTTTTCTTCTAGGTCAGGTTGGTCGCCCTTTCCCACTGTTGCTGCCACTTCCCGAAGCCTGAGTTGGCTTTTTTTGGAGGCAGTGCTTCTTCTCTGCCTGACAAGGTGCTGTTCAATGGGGTGGATAGTTTTTTGGCTTCTCCTTTTCCACCTTGTTTAGTAGTGGTACCTCCCCTGTTTCTATTTGCTCTTGACTATAATTTTACCATTGCTCTTTCACTTTTTTCTTTGTTTGTCCTCTGCTCAGTGCTTTCTGAGATGAGATTTTCAGTGTCAGCCTCTCAGAGGTGTTAGATCAAGGATGATTTTATGGTCAGGCAGTGCTTTGGCTGTTGAAGTCACATTGCAAACTACAAATTCCACAGGGTCTTGCATCTTGTGTGTAGTGACGTAGGCACACCGTAAGTCTTGCTGACGCCCAGAGGAATGTGATGCTGCTTATCCCTTTCTTTTGGAGCCAAGACTGTTGTCTATAAAACAACCATTAGATCTATACGCAGACTGAGTTACTTTATTATTGCTTTCTTTTTTTTTGCAGTGTAACAACTGATTTCCTTCATAGCTCTCAATCCTTTGAAGTGGCTTCTTAAAAGGGCATTTTCAGATAGTTTGTCTGTCCCTGATTCCCCCGTGCAAGTTTCTCTAAATTTAAAACTGTATTTTCATCTCTTAAGAAAATTCTTTTATTTCTTCTGCCGCTCTCATGCTCAGGCAAGTAGAAGTTACCCAGTTCTGTGCAAACTGTCGTTAAACCCGCAGTGCAAATGTATTGCAGGAGTAGGGAAGGAAGCACAGTAAGTGATAATCCTGGGCTTTGTGGCCATGGTGGAAATATGTTTTTGTAAGGAGGTGGACTTGGTCTGTGCCACTCAAAATAATCCCTGTACTTTTCATTTCACTCCTGTTAACTTGACTTCTCCATAGTATTGGGTAGTTGATAGCTCTGTAGATTTTACTGCCAGCAGGAGTTTAGTGCAATATTGATTTAACGTTTCCAAATAATGGCAGTAATTTCAGTAAAGGCTTTCCCTCTTTTAGAATAAACTAAATTGGTTAGATTTATTTTAAGTGTGGCATCAATCATGGCACTGAAGTAAATCAGACTGTATTTTAGATGCAGATCTTTGACACGAGTGTGTTAGCGATTAGAATTTGGTTCCTTAGGGGCATGGCATTGCTGAATCCCTTTTCTTTTAGTTTTCTCTCTTCAAACCTGTAACTGCAGAAAACATTGCTTACAGTATTTGTTGAAATGCAGGAAAGTAGCCAAATGCCACTCTGAGATGGAAGGATGTATTATAATGTTATTTCTAATTGCAAAAGCATACCTTTCTTCTGCTTTGAGGCTTAAGCAAGGTAATTTTTCCCAGTCGCAGTCACCTGCTGCTGTGAGGCACACTGTAGAACCTAAAACTTCCCATTTTCTTTTCAAAATGGCCTATTTCAGTGTCGTGATGTTTTTTGTTTTTAACCCAGCTAAGTGCAGGAGTCAGTGGGCTCTAGATTCTGCTGTGGTTTGTCAATAGTTCAGTCATCACAATTGACCCATGCGTCTTGTAATGCTAAGAGAAAACACATTGAGCTCTGTTCTTGGAACAGATAAATATAGAACTGCTATTGTGAATATTCTTGTAGTGACGTACTTAATCTAGAAAGCTAACAATTCTTTTATTTGCTTTTAGGGTTTGAAAGTATTCTAGAAGGCCTGTTTGGACCTGGATTATTAAAAGATCTCAGTTTGTTTAAAGGTATTCAATCTCTATGTTTGTATCTTGTTCTGCATTTCTAATGACAGAAGCAGCCCCAGCTCTGCCTCTAGAAAATGTGTGTTACCGTGGTGATTTGTGCTTTTCCCCCTCCCCCAGGCAGTGCTCACAGTTAGTTTCATATTGGCTAAAATTACTAATGAGTGTGCGTTCATCTTTATGTAGCTGGGAGTGTATTTGGCAGTGCTCAGGAAAAAAAACACATATTTGTTGTGCGTAGATAAAATGTATACAGTTTGGTAGTCTGGGGATTTAGAAATATGGCTGAAATGAAGCTTGCATCCTCAGAATGCAGGCAAGAATGTTGTGAAACAGGTATTTAATTTGGCATTTCTCTTTTGGCTCCAGTTATGTCGCGGTTTATGAATATGAAGTAATCTGCTATTCCTCTGATTTACAGACTGTGAGCCTGAAGGTGTTTCTGATTGGTCTTTTGATGAAAATTGTCTTTTCTGCTGCCTGAGAAGAGAAAAAGTGAAGGTAACAATGCAGATGTGTGAAGCTCGTAGTTGTAGGGGAGGGACAAAGGGAGGGAGTTTGCTGCTCCTACTTAACTGAGCACAGAAAACCTACAGCCACCTACACCTCTCCCCTCCTTTGTAAAAAGACTTTCTTAAATTAATACACATTAATGAAGAGACTTTTTCTCTGCAACTTTTGCTTTGTGGTACGTGATGAAGACTTTTTTCAGTGTGTGTGTGTGTGTAGTGACTTTTTTTTTTCAATTTGGTTTACGGGTTGTTTTGTGTTTTTCTTGTTTTTTGAGTTCTTTATAAAAGACCTTGTTGGGATCATGTAACTCTTCCCAAGGGAGCCAAACTGTGGCTTGTGTACGTTTACCACAGTCAGACACTGGGCTTATCTTCAGTATGGAAATGTGGTCCATTTTAACCACCTAGAGGCTTATTCCCTATCTCGGAATCTCTTTCCCCGTGGGCCATATCCTTTTATTAAAGGGCTTGTGTGTATGGCAGGTTTGCTATTGTGCTTGTTTATAACCATGTCACAGCCTAAATGTGGGCAGGTCAGCTTTGCCAACATTTTACACCTGTAGTTTGTTTTCTTAACCAGATTATAGCTGTGTATGAAACAAAGGTTACCATGCTGTACGTGATTGCTGCTCAGCCTGTGTGTTGAAATAGTGATTGCTCTATAGTGTAAGAAGGAAGGCTCATCTGTCTTGGGAAAACATCATTTCCTGGATCTCTTAACTGCTACTTCTTCCTGCACAATGTAACTGTGAGTGCAGAGGGGTTCTCTGTAGACCTGTGAATGAAACACAATCGCCCTTCCCTCTGCAGCAGCTAACATATGACCTCATGGTTTGTTCATAAAGGAAGCACCTTGTTAACAGGGGACTTGCCATGTTGCCAGTTTATGCTTATTTTTATATTACACTGTTTGTTGAAGCACTGGGAGGAGGATTAGAAATGCTTGCTTTTAGAATAGGCGTAGCACGTAACACTTTGTTGAGGCTGACAGCAGGTAAGCTCTGTGTGTATTTATGCTGCTAGGAGTTCTGTCTCATTTGGCTTACGTCACTTCATATAAAGACAAAATTCAGCACTGAGCATAATTCTAGGTAAGTTCAAGAATGAACTTTATGGTGTGGTCAGTCTGCTTGTAGGCTGGGAGAGTCTTATGATGTGTGGGTATATCTTCAGAAAGACTGCCTACATCTCATCATCCTCATAGGCCCACAGTAACTAAGATAAAGCTTCTGAAAACCCATTATTTAGGTGAAGACTGGGAACACCATATAGAGTGCAGATTAGATTTGCTTGTCTTATTCTCCTCCAACTTCTGCATAACCTTTTGGTCAAAAGCTGAGATGCCACTATTTACATTTTCAGTGCACTCTGCTTGGCTTTCTGTCATTGAGAACCAGTGACGTTTATATGCTGTAAATAGCTGCTCCTCTGTTATACTGTGTGATGATTTTTAAATGGACAAAAGAAGGATGCAGATTTGGTCGGATCTGGTGTTGCTCTATGGGGCAGTTTTGGCATTGGGTCTAAGGACGTTTTAGGATTGTGCACGTAAAATGATGCAGAATGCAGCAGGGGCATGCAGCATCATTTGCCAAAAGCATGAGGTGAGGGGAAGGAGGTTATACGTCTTGATCTGCCCAGAGACAAATGTGAGTTAACAAAGGCTGCATTAGTGTCAGTCACAATGGGTTAGGGTAGAACAAGTTGTATAAATAAAACCTATATCTGTCGCTTTACATTTCAGTAGCCAAAAATGCTTCTTTAAACCCTTTTACTAACAGCCAATTGATAAATAAAGACAGCAGAGAGTGCTCCATACATATGCAATTTTGCTGTGTGTCCAAATATCACTGGCTGTTTGGGGGATGGAGGAGCAGGGAACAGAAGTGAAGCAGTCCGTTCAAACCAGACTTGTGACCTCTGTTAATGCTGGTGATTCTTCTTGCACTGGGCCGAGAGAAATGAGTCTGCTTTGGAGCACATGGAAGTTTCTTGCTCTTTTCCTGCTCTCCCGCAGTGTTAACATTTCTGTTGTGCTGGTGGTGGTTGGGTTTTGGTTTTTTTGTTTGTTTGTTTTTTTGTGGGAAAGAGAGAGTGAAGAATATGGCTCCTTTGAGACCTTGTGAGTGCTTTGTGTGTTAGCTGTGGTGATGGCAAGGTGGGAATGTCTCCTTTCCTTTGTGGGCATGCTGAGTTGCTGCCCTGCTGGTCATAGCTTATGTCATTAGCTTGCAATATGGAGATAAATGCAGCTCTCCTATGGAGATCTTCAGGTAGCATGAATTTGATGTAGTCATCGTTTGAAATAAAGCCTGAGATCTCATTGTTACTCAGAAGTTGGTAACTCCATTTGATATTCAGCCAGATGATGAACAGGCTTCTGCTGGCGGCCTGATTTAAATTGGGAATGGTACCAATTTTATTGGAAATCTCTTCTATCCAACATTTGTCATTTGTGATGATAACTTTAACTCTTTCTTTTGAAGGAGTTGAAGGCTTAAGCTTCCAAAACTACTAAGACCTGTCTGTTCCTGTGTGTAATATGGTTGCAGTTGTGTTTTCTGTGCCTCAAATTCTGATCTGCTTTTTTGTTGCTGATGTGCTGCTTTTCAATTTGGAGTGTAAAGAACTGAGAGGATGGGCTCATCTGGGTATGTGCCTACATAATAGTGGGGACAGATTTAAAAGGTGTGTCATTGATGGTGCAGCTGGAAGCAAGATAGCCACAGCCATGTAGTATTCTGTGTTCTGGGGCTGTGGCTGACACCTCTGTTGGTGAAATAATCAGACAGTGTAATCAGCTCTCACCTTTGGGTGATATGGAGGCACTTGTTCTAACAAGTTGAAAAATAATAAAAATGGTGGGTTTTTTTCTGGATTTGCTTGTAAGAAAGCTGTGTAACTCAGGAGGCAGGTGGCTGTGTTTAAGGAGACCTTGGTGCTGGACTGGAGGATGAGAGCTGGAGGCCTTGAGTAGTTTATTGGCTGAACCATTTGGGAAAGAAAACTGTCCTTATTCTTCCACCCTTTTCAGTGATGCTAATTCGTGCTTTTCCAAGCAATCAGATTCAATTACATGCATTCTTCAAAGGAGGGGAAGCCATCTGCTGAAGTATTCTGAAGAGATTAATTTATTTGTAGCAGTAGTTCTACTTGCAAATGCATGGAGTTTTTTTGCCAGCCAAAATACAAGATGGTATTTGATAGAGGGGTAGACTTGAGTGTGTTCACTGAAGAACGTCAGTAAAATACATACAAAGTTAGGAGCTAAAATCTCCGGTCCTATTTTTGCCCATATCCTAAGGGTTGTATGCAATAACATCACACTTTACAGATTAGAATTTTTTTCTTCCATCATAGAAAGCAAAATAACAATATCACAATTGTTGCACTTGTATGATCAGAGAGAATAATTAGTTAACTAAGGAACTGCTTCCAGATCATTAACACATGTACACTGACAGCATGAAAGACAGAGTTAGCAGCTCCAGCAGCATGCTCACAGCGAAAGGAAACAGATCATGTTCTGTGGGGCCCAACTCATTGAGCTCTGTTTGGCTGATCTGCAAATGTGGTAATTCCCAGTTCCCTGTGGGCTTCATCCTTCATAGAGAAGACTCTATACATGCTGTCCAAGCTTTTGTTTTTTCGTGGCTCTCTAACTTCTAACAGGTTGTAGTGCAGGTAAGCCCTGTCCATTCAGATGAGTTGAACTTTAAGTGTTTTTCTTAGTTGCAGTTAATTTTTCATTGCTTCTCATAAGAAAACCAACAGAGCTATCACTACAGAAGAAGTCTGTGGCTCTATCTGGAGTGTTTGTATCCAGTCAAATGGTCTTGGCTGTTATTTGCTAGCACGCAGAGCTCAAGCCTAGTTCAAGATTTTTATTATTTTTCTTTTTTGGTGAAAAGCTGGCGATAGGTAATGTCAAAAGCACCAGAGGTAAGGAAACTGGGGAAAGAATCCTTTAAGAAGAATTCAGTTGAGTGTATTCCTTTGGAAGAAAATGGATTGTCTAAAGCTACCTAAAGAAATTTGTACACATGGGTTTTGTTTTTCATTAAAAAAAAAAAAGCTGTGGGGTAGAGGAATGACACTAATCTCATTTGTTGGTGAGAGGAGAACAAGAAGGATAATACTCCTAAGCACATTAACTATTTCATAGATATATTTAAGCTATAGAAATAGCAAGAGAGAAAACAACAGGGAGCGTATTCTGGAGTCTGATGCTGCTGGTGGCAGAGGGCTGAGCTGCTGCTTGGAGCACCACAAAATAGCTTGGCTTCGCTGTAAGGACCTGAAGCAGCTCTGGGAAGAAGTTTGTAGGGTGCAGCGTGTGAGAGCCACACCAAAGTACTTTGAATTTTCAAACAGGGATTATGGTTAGTCAGAACAGCAGCCTCTGATGGGGCATCCGTTCAGTGCATGTTTTGAATTCCATAAATTTGAACTGTTACCTTGGAGAGTGAGGAAACAATGCGGTCTCACTAGGAAATCTTGCACTCCCAGTAAGTGAAGGTTGTTCTTTAAAGTAATCCAAGCACCTGAATTCATTGCTGATGCTAAACTGTGAGCAGTTGCAGGTGCTTCACATGGCGTGTTTGGAATTGAAACTTCAGAAATGGGACAGACCAAAACTTATTTTATCAGTCAGAAGTTACGGATAACTGAAAGGTGATAGCAATGCAGAAGTGATAAGCTATTTTGGGAGATATAAGAATAGAGGCACGTCTTAATGTTGGGAGAGGGAATTCTTCTCTTGCCAGATAGTGATGCTGCAGGTTCAGGGAAGGGATGCTAGTGATGCATTGAGCCATGATTCCCATGTGAAGAGAAGCACAAAGAGAACAGAATGGGGTTATAAATATGGAGAAATGACATTTTAACCCCTAGGATTTCTGATCAATGCCGATTGGTTAATTAGCATTTATCATTAAAAAAAAAAAATCCCCCCAAATCTCCAAACAAATGCACACAATGAAGAAAAACTTTTGGAAGTTGACACTGAATGATAATCACAATCAAATATTTACCATGGAAGTTTCCCCTGAGCAATTAACCTACTGCAAAGATTGCTGGAATCATTGTTACAGGCAGTGATGAGAAAACAACAGGAAAAAAAGCAGTAAGCAGAGATCTTTCTGGTGAACTGTGTCATGAGGTCGGTACAGGAGTGCTTGGCTGTGTGGTACTTGCTGTGTGATGTCTCAGCTGTCAGAGATGATGGGAACCTGAGCAGCGCTTGATGGTGGATGGAGGTTCTCTTGATTTTTCAGCTGCTTCCAGAGTTCATTGGATCAGGCTGAGGGGATGATGTTTCCTTCAATTCTGAATTCTGTTTGTCCTTTGAATGGGAAGGAAGTTTTTTTGCAATGGCCTGTGGGATTTCAGCCAGAGGATGCTCATCAACTTCAGTTGATCTCATTTAGCCAGATCTCTGTGCATCAGATTGCAGAGATTGCTTTTAAATAAAGCTTAAAAGTTTGTCTTTAAAAGTGCTAACACTTGTGTATTGCCTAGGCTAGTTGTGTTTGTGAGTTAATTTGTCCTTTAATGCCTCCTTTGACACAGACCGATGGGTTGATGGGTTTGTGCCTGTCCTCATAACCTGGAAGGGTAGCAGAGCTTGGCTGAGGGTGGCAGTCAGTGACGGGGACAGATCCTGCCTGAAACTTCATCAGACGTGGAAACACCGTTTTGAAAAAGAGAATGGAAGTATGTTTTGAGTCTCACCTAGAAGATAACTCTACCAAAAGTATTTGGTTTACTTTCCACGTGTGTTTTCACTGTGAAATCCTGTACTGACACCTCGTATTTTAAGTATCAGAGAACTGCAAATGTGTGCTCAGCCTGTTTATACAAAGCCTGGAGCCACAGCATGCTGCTGCGGGCGTTCCTGGCACAGAAGTGAACGCTCGTCCTCCACTTTGAGTTCCCAGCCTTCTGAGGGCTAGCTTAGAAGTGCTGGCCTTTCCTATGGGAGCAAGCCTGGGTTCTCTCTGGTATAGAAAAAAGGCTCAATCTGTTTGTGAGAGCTTTAACTCTGCACAACTATGCTTTCCCAGCAAGCGCGCTGTTAAGCTCATCTCTCACCTCGGTCGCTGTACTCATCTGTTAGTTTGGCACAAACTTCTGCTTTCTTTGTAGCCTGAGATGGGTATCCCCTTTTCTCTTTCGACAGAGAACTTTTGGAAGCTGGTAAATGACAAATCTTACGGTGAAAGCCCGTGCTGTACAGGCCAGAGTCCACAGCGTCCATGTGATTGCCCTTTGCACGTAGTTCATGTGACTGCTGCGTTCGTTAATTTACTATAGGCTGCTTATGTAACCTCCTTTCATTAAGCCTCTTGGAGCAGAGACTTACAAAATTAAAAATGACTTCTTGTTTTCATTTATTGTGAATTATAAGTGAATTGCCAGCTCTCTCCTCCTTCCCTTTTAGTCCCATAAGAACATGAACCTGAAATCAATTTGTACGTTAGAGGCCAGAAGCTGGCTATAGCCAAGGTATTATGGTAACTGATACTATGTAAAGGTTAGCAAAACAAAACACTCCCTCAACCCAAAGAGAGGTTGTGTATGCATTCCTTCAGTAGGTAAATACAGGTAACTTCAATATTGCTTAAAATGAAAGTGGGAGGAAGGGGCCCCAAAAGGGATTATTCTCCTGCGCGAGAGCAAGGCGTTAAAATGAAAGAGGACAGAGGAGGGTGGGTGGGGAAATCCAGGCAGTTGTATTTGGTATGTTTGTAACCATTGTCTTCCAGGTTCCCTTTAATTATCCTAGTAAATGACTGGTTCTGAAATATTCTGGAGATAACTTCCAGTTGTACAAGAAAATGAACTTTAATTCATTGCGGGTATTGCAAACAGTGAGCTTGCATTTATTTCACTAAGAAGTCACCGCTGCTGAGCCTCTTGACAGAGGACCTTGTTTGTTGCTGGTGCTTGGCCATTTATTGCTCAGTTCACATGAACACTGTGTGAATGAAGGTGAATTTTCTCTGTATTTTGCCCTCGGTGTTTTTTTCTTATAGAACCGAACTTAAGAGCCAAAGAACAAGTGTTAGATACGCAATTTGCAGCCAAATGTAGTAAAATACAGAAACCTTCCTTCTGGTGGGCTGTTATTTGCCATAACGCTATCAAATCTTCCAGTCTTCTGCTGCATTTACAACAAGAGAACAGGACAAAGTACAATGTTCTGGAGCAGTCAGAAATTCAAGTTTTGATTTAAATAGATACAACTCTGTGCTGAGTATCTAACAAAGCTTCGAATTTAGTAAAATGTGCAATGCCTAAGGAGCTTTATTTGTTTTGGAGGCAGGAAGATCTTATAACTATTAAATATCTTTGCAGGAGCACTTAGTCTGTCTGGATGAGCCAGCCTCGGAAGCTGGACAAGAAGCTCTGCTTAGACAAGAGCAAGCAAAAATCATTCGTTTTGAAAGGCAAGCGGAAGAGTTCCTCAATGCAGTCTTTTACAGAAAAGGTTGGTTTTAATGTGGGGTGAGGGGGGGAGTGACATCTCTTGCTGGTCTTTTTTGCATGTGACGCAGGTGTCAAAGATTGGATGTTGAAATTGTCATTGTATCGTCAGTACTTTTCAATTGCAGTCTTCATTTATCAAGAAAATTAAGTCTCCAACAATGTAGCAGTACAGCAGCATGGTCTTGAGAGAGAGGAAGAGAGCATAAGAGCTTTAAGCCCAAAGTAAAACTCTCCATGGGAACACAAGTATTCTTACAATTATTATTCAGCTCTTATCCAGCAGAACTGCTGCTCTGAAGCCAGTGTTTAGGTGAGTGAGCTGTAAAGAGGAGCAGTGGTGATGGTAGCTGGGAGATATACACACACACACATAAACACATATATATACTTTCTAAAATTAATTTATTGGTGGGACCTATATTAATTTTTAAGAAGCTAGCAGTCTTCTCACTCTGGTCTGTGATTTCCACCACCGCCTGCCCCAGCAATCCGCAATCCAAAATATAGTTGGAATAGTGTGCAGGGGTTTATATGGAAAATTCAAAAGGGAGCAGCACAAGAACTGGAAAATCAGTACTGTACAATATGCTGAGAGCAATTATGGTAGCTCAGTGTTAGAAAGTCTTGTAAATCTGTTCTGGAGAGTTACATCAATTAAAGCTCACTGTTCAGAAGGCGTGGAACTCGCTTCTCTGCTTTCTGTCAGCCTGAGAAATGGGAATCCAGAGGTTGCTTCCAAGTGCATCCTGAGTGGAAGTACATTGTACTTATCAGGCTAACCCACGTGTGAGAAAATCTGCCAAATCAGTAATTCCAACCTGTCTGCTGGGGGACAATACAAGGCTTCAGTTTAACAAATTAGAAATTGCTGTAGCCAATCTTCAGCCCATCCTCACAGTAACCAAAATATTTAAAGGTGTTTTAAGCAGATAACAGTATTTTAGCCTTTCTTTTATGACTCAGATGAGTAAATACAAACTATATAGTATGATGAATTGCATGAAGTATAGCATGGAGGATGGTAGGAGGGGCAGTCACTTGCATGTTACTACCAATAGTTCAGATAATGCTTTTATTCCAAGCCTGCCTTTTTAGTGGCTTTTTTTCTTTTAAAGGTAATTTTAAATTTATCCCATCTTGCTTTTAAGTCCGGAACCAATTTAAGAAAATAAAAAAATATGTAGAGTGTATATTTTTTTCCATCCCAGTCTTCTGGTGGAGATAGAAGCTGTGCAGAAATGCCTTTTCAGCGCTTCCAAATGCTTTGTTAGATATCTCATCCCTTTAACAAAAAGCATAACTTTGTGTGTGACCTGCGTGCGTACTTCATGAGAAACACATACTTCCTAAATCATAGGACAATTGTTTGATGCTTTCTGTGGTCAGGTACAGAATAAGAACTCGGGAATCATTTTAGATTAAAAAAAAAAAAAAAAAATTCTCAAAGATTCTTAGTTAATGTGTTCTTGGTTTCCCTTCTCCGTTCCAGCAGAACTGAGCTTGGTGCAAGAGTAGTAAGGGAGGGGAAGGAGCCTGGCAGGAGCTCAGTTCTGAGTCCTTTATGCATTGTTGTCAAGCTTGGCTGTATTCAGATTGCTTAAAATGTTATTCTAACTCATGCCACTGACACAAGATCGCCAAGCACAGTCATACCAGAGGGAACACAAAGAATGGTGCAGTTCTGATGCTCCTCGTTGCTCAGAGGTGCTTGGATCTCCTGGCTTCATGCCAGTAATTAGTTCCTTTTTATTTCCATCCTGACTGCCAGTAACATTTGAGACTGCTGTTTTGTAGTCAGTGTGGGTCAGGGAAGATGCAGGTGTTCTGTGAACAGATGCCTGTTGCATGTCAAGGACATGAATTTGTGTGCATAACATACAAAGATAATGAGCAATATCAGAAAACTTTCAGAACAGGCTGCCCAGTAATGCTAGCTGCTTCCTCTGTGCTCTGTGCCCATGGCACTCTGACCCAGTAATTCTTCCATCAAATGTTCGTAATGCCAGTGAAAGCAGAGTGCTCAGTTCTCCATTACCTTTATGTTGTGACGTGATAGGACTTTGTTTTGGTGGTTTAATGAAATTATACCTCTTTTTTGGTTGATGTTTCCCTCTTGAGATTTCTGTGTAGGTAAAATACAGAAAGGCTATTGAGTATTTAAAGCTGGGTTGTGTTAATTTAAAATAACTTACAGTAGATAAATGTTGGCTGTGTTTATCATCTCTGAGAATCTCTATGCCTTAAGTTAAAATTTCTTTCAAATAAATGAGATATTTGAAATCAACATGAACACGTGGTTGATTTCCAGTGATGCTGCAGGAACACCAGAAATACTTTGCTTTCACTTTTGAACAGCTTTTATTCTGGACATTTAAAAATCAGGCTTTGTATTAAGCAAGAAGCCTTTAATGTGCTGGGTAACTACCCTTCTGCTTGCAAGTTAGAGTCCTGAATTAGTAAGTTTATCTTGAGTAGCTCTCAGTAGTTGCTCTTTGCTGCTTCTTTGAATTAGCAGGGTAGAAAGATGCATGCCTGCAAGCATATACAGTATTTTCTCCATGAATTTGGAAGCACATTTAGCTGCAAGCTTTATTGGCTTGTATGTATATGAATGTATGTGCACAGGAAAAGCATGATTCTTCAGTAAATGTAATCTGTATAGATCTCAGCATTCATTTCAGCCCAACACGTATTCACTGCAAGCACGTGTCAAATGGCTGGAATCAGTGTGATCAGACTGTCAAGCTGTGCTCTTCTGGGCTTCCTTAGAGCTTCTCACGTCCTTCAACGGGTCATAAGAGAGAGCTTAGAAAATGGAAGGCATGTCATACTTGGTGGAAAAAGTTTCCACGCTTCTTCCCTGTTACAGCTCATGTCCTCGTGAGCCTTTAGAAAGAAAGGGAGGGTGTAAATGTACATAAATAAGTTTGGCTCATCTCGTGGTGGCTTCTTAAAACTTTGTGTTGTGTGCTTAGCAATAAAATATCTCAGACTCCACAATAAAATGATTAACTATTTACATAAGCATCCCAGAAATTTAGAACTACTGTACCACTGTAAGATCATACACAATGACTGTATAAGATCTTAAATTTGAAAACCTGTACTTAACAGGAGGGAATTGTGGCTCAGTAAGTACTTAAATCTCAGTGTGGTTTTCCATCAAGAATCACGGTAGCTGCTTACTGCTGCTCTTAGGTTTACGGGCAGCTCTGCCCTCAGTCCCTCATGTCACTCATCCTTAACAGATACTCTGCTGCTAGTTGTTGGATTGCTGTATGTTTGTCAAAAATGGTGGTGAAAGGCAAATTAACACTGAAATGCCCCACAGATGATTTTGCTCCATCTTGATTCTGATAGCTCCATCTCGATAGATTGCCTTTCAACCTAGCAATTAAAAAAAGTAAGCACTCTTCTATTGTTTCTGCCTGAGTGCAAACTTCAGATTTATTTGGTCTTCCAGCACACAATTTTCTCTCTGGAAAAAGAAAATCAAATCTTCTGAGGATTCCATTTCAGGAACTGTTTTTAACAAACAAACAATGACAGCAGCAAAAGAGCCAGCACCCTGATTTGTCCAAAGAAAACACACAGTGCTTACGAGGAAGTGGCAGGACTTGGAACCTGTGACGCAGGAGCTGTGGCTTTGCTTTGACATAATGAATTGCTACTGGTCTACAACAGTCATTTGCATTATTACCTTTGTGTTGCCCATACACCTGAATACCTTATGTATTTCTGTGCTTTTTTATGGGGGAGAAAAAGAAAAAAACGAAACTTCTAACTGTTCCATTTCATGTTCTTACCAATAGACTTAGCAGCACTTCTAGAAATAGAATTACTTTTCATTTGACACCTCTTGGTTTTTGGCAAAGTTCTTTGGGTAACATCTCGTGCTGTACTGTAACGCAGTGGTAGATGAAATGAGATGGAAGGCACACTTGATCTTCATTCAAATTATTTGGAAGAGTCAAAACTAGAGAGCTTCATTTCCCAGTAATTTTATAGGGGACTGCTGCAACTCTGCTCTCCCCCCATCCCTTCCTATATTTGCAGGTAAGTTAATCAATTCTTCCACTGAATAACCTGTTCAGTTTTTCATAATGAACTTCATTACTTGATGCTTTTCTTTGTGGTTCCAGCACTCCTTTCCACTTCCACACCTTATAATGGTCTGGTTGGATATACTTGAGAACAAAAGATGAGACTGCGTATTTTTCCTGGAAAACAGTTGCTTTGAAAGTTTGTACCCGAATTAGCTATGATTCTTGCTCAGATCTTCCAAGAGTGAAGTACTTATTGTATAGAAACACATTTATCTTTTGCTTGCTTTTTGTTTTCTTTTTAAAATAACCAGTGACTTAATAAAAAAGCTGTCTTATTTGAAGTGCTTCCTTAAAAAAAAATTCTCTGATGTTTCCAGACAGTCCTAGGGTCTCTGACCCCAATATTCCCCTAGTGGCCCGTGAGATCATGCAGCGAATGATCCGACAGTTTGCTGCTGAATATACCTCAAAAAATAGCTCTACTCAGGACTCCAGCCAGCCCAATAGCACAAAGAACCAAAGCCTGCTGAAAGCATCTCTGGTCGCCTCCTCTCCCACGGCTGCAACTGCTCAGAACCCTGTGCTCAGCAAACTTCTCATGGCTGACCAAGACTCACCTCTGGACCTTACTGTCAGAAAGTCTCAGTCAGAACCTAGTGAACAAGGTAGGACTGTTACCAGTGTCTTGTGTCCTGTGGCAATCCCCTCCTGGCTTTCTTGTTAAAAACGATGGCAAGTTTGCACTTTTACATACAATGTAAGTGGAAAAGCAGTAGATGTCGTCATGGTGAAAGACTGACTAGCTAGATATGGCTTGCAGAGGAGATAATTCTTGAAAGAAGGTAGGCTCACAGACATGAATGATTTTTGTGAAGAAGGGCAAAGGGGGTGGACGTGCTCTGACCTCTGGGAACAATTGTGCTGCAGGGAGCTGCGAGAAACAGCTGCTCAGTGGGCTGTGTGCTTGCTGATAAGGTGCTGTGGTCATCAAAACCTTCCTGAAGATCCGTGCAGAATCCAACTGAAGGACTGGTTGGATTTATTTTCTCTATGATCGCAATGTGAAAGTAGTCAAATTTGGTGAGAAATTGCTTTGTGACGGCTGGCTCGTGCATTTGGAAAAAGTCTGGGTTTTTTTTTTCCACCTTAAAAATAGACTTGTTCAGCAAAGCACAGATTGAGTGACTTGTAACAGTGTTGCAGAGCTTGTTTTAAGGTGAAAACCTTGCTTTCCATAAAAAAGAAAAGTTTTTAACAAGCAAATTCTGCAAGTGATTTTTGTTAAGTGAAAGATTTTTTTTTTTCCTGAAAATCTGGATTAGAGGTTATGATAACTGTATTTTACTGAGAGGATTCGAATTAACCTCTTTTCCTTCTTTAGTAATGGGATTAAAAGTGCCTGAAATCATTCTGCTAAATACAATGTAGACTGTGCATCCTCAAGCTGTCCAATGCCTTTAAAACAAACGAATGCCAACAGCAAAATAAAGCAGCAGAACCCTTTAGCTCACTGGTACGTGGTTGTAAACATTCCTTCATCTTGTCTGCATGTATACAGATATCCTGTATCTGTAAGAAGGTTAATTTTTATGTCCAACCATGTTCAGATTGGACATCTGGGCACTTCTTACACTTCTAGTTATTGCCACGTGTCAGTCACAAAATTGCATTGAAAGATTATATGGTACTTTTTCTAATTGAGGATCTGTGCCTTTAGTTGATGGGCATTTATTTCTAGCTAATGGTATTGCAAAGCAAATGTAATTCACTCATGTCTTTTTTGCATGTATGTTTATGGATGTTAAACTGTTCTGATCTTGAAGCTTTTCCCCAAAAGGGAGGAGAGAATTGGTTCTGTGTTTGGTTGTTTTTTTTTTAATTTGAGGTTAAGAAGGAAGTATATACGTGAACTGCTCTTAGTGGTGAAAAAGCGTGGAGATGATTTATAATGTTTTGCTCCTTCTTGATACACACGTGTTCCAATTCAATAACTTCTAAAGCGATCTGTTAGCTGATGTAGTTGTTTTTCCTAATTTTCATAACTGGGAAGGGTTTTGCCAAACTTTCCAAGGAGGGATTTAAGAGGCTGTCACACAGACTGCGGGGGCAGCTTTTTGGTGTATTTCCGTCCTAGAGGGCTGAGGGGAAGAAGCCAGCTTGTGAGCTCAGGGCATGGGCCTGCTCCTGCTTGCCCACAAGAACCCTTCAGTCAGAGGAGTGGGGATGGAGCCCCTGCCTGAACTCTGCTGTTGATGCATCCCCTTGAAGAGTGGGTGCTGCTCCATCCCTCCCTGTGCCCCGTGGCTGGGTGCCGCAGCGCTCAGAGGGAAGGCTGAGCTCTCTGCTTGCTTAGGTTTGGGTGGCGAGGTGTTCCCACATGCGGTGGGTGGAACAGCTTTCTGTAAGTCAGCTCTGTTTCACTGCTTTTCTTGTGGGTTTTTTCTTCCATATGTCAAATGAGAACTTGAAGCAATCTGAAAGCCATCTTAGATTGTTCTTGTGTTTGAAGGTACTTGTGTTAATGAGCAAGTAGCTCTGAAACATCTCTTGTTTGCTTTGCCAGCAGCTTTCATTTATCTTTGCCTCGTAAATTCCATGTTTCAGGGTTTCCAGGAATTTCAGATGGCTGTAGTGCTTTTAAGGCAATATTGCCTTTATTAAAATGACCAGAATTTGTTTCAGTGCAATGGGAACAAGGCTTTTCTAGCATGAAGCAATCCCTTTGCTGTTGCCTAGAAATGCAGAGTTTATGTAAGGGCTCACAGAGGAGTGCAGGAGAGTGCAAGGAAGTGCCATTAGTGTGTGTCCAAGGGAGAATGGGAGAAGCAGCCTATATAAGTGTGAGAGGAGAGGGAGTAAAGCGACACAGTAAAGGGGAAGAGCAGCGTCTGTGCCATCAGGAGCCCAGCAGGGACACAGGAAGAACAGGACAAAGCTACTTGCTGGGGGAGGAGTCCAGTGCTATGTGGGTGCTCCTTTGAAAGTGAGCTTCCCATATTAAATTCCTACGTTAATCCAAATCTATGCAGGAAAATTGAAAATAATATGTTATGTCTCTCTCTATATGCACAACACTGATTTAATGCCTCCAGCACGTAAGTAATGTGTAATATCTCATGCCTGAGACTGTGTTGCATCCTGAACCATCATTTGTAGGCAATTATTTATTTTCTGGCCCTTGTAAAAGATGCCAAATTTTGTTGTGACTTCTGAGGATTATGCTGGTCATTTGTAAGCCAAATTATGACCAAATCCAAGCCTTGAGTCACTGAAAAAAACGAGATGTTATGTGCTGAACAAGACGTTAGCCCAAAGAAGTGGCTTTGTCAGCATGACCAATTCTGTTTCTTCAAACACTGAAGCGATTCTGTCATTTCTACAGACGGCGTGCTTGATTTGTCCACTAAGAAGAGTCCTTGTGCTGGCAGCACCTCTCTGAGTCATTCTCCAGGATGCTCCAGTACTCCAGGAAATGGGTAAGAGAAAACAACTTTCAGTGACGTCTTATGACCGTGTTTTTAACTAAAAATGTATGTTTACCACTCGTCAAAACTAACTTATTTTGGTGTTAACCTCCTGGAGTAATGTGCCTTTCAGTGTGCCTTTTGGTGAATCCCTTCGTCCCACCTGCCAAATAAGGGTTGTTGCAAACTGAGACCAGTTTACCTGAGGTGAAGAGCTCTGCTATCTGTTATTTTGGCCAGCTTAGTTCTTAGCCAAAAGCACTGCCTGCTTCTTGGATTCAGTGGAGAAGTAATATCGGTCAGATGTCTGAGCACTATTGTTTGTTTTTTTTTTAAAATGCTTTGCAATGTGACTTAGATTTTGTTTCATTTAGATGGAAGTTAACTAAGAAAGAAGCTTATTTTACCAGTAGCAATAATTTGGATGATGAACCAGAGTGATTTGATTTTAAATCACTGCATGTTCTGTGTTTCTATTTTCTTGCACAACCTTAAAAATATATATATATACATATAAAACAAATAGAGAAGTTGGGTGGCAGTGAAGTCTCCTAGTTCAGAAAACTCGAAGTATGGTTTGGCTTTTTTTGGATTTGCAATTGCACTGAATTATTTTTTTCTAAGGAAATACAAAATGCATGATGTGCTACTCCTGCCTTAATTCAAGGTGTAGAAGAATGCTATCAGTGGTTACTTGTAGATTTCATGTTTCTAGTGGTCACTTTTGCATAAATTTAGAAACCCTTTATTGTAGTTAGGTTTGAATTGATTGTACTGGAGAGGTGGGTTGTGAGTTAGAGGGGTTTTGGGTGTTGATAGGAAAATTTTGTTTGGAAGCTGCTGTGAACTACAAGGTTCATTAGTGAAGTACAGAAACAGAACGTGATTCATACTGCTATTTAATTGCTGGATTTAGACCTACAACAGCATTTGGAAAACTTGAATTTTTAAACTAACAACCCACTGCCAGTGCCAACCTCATGTACTGCTAACAACTGGTTTAACTGTTGCATTTCTTTGGGGAAAAATACTGCTGTCTGAGAGTTTCTCTCTTCAAGATTACATTTCCCATTCAATATTTCTAGAAATAAAATACTTCAGTCCTTGTTTAAGAGTTAGCCTGAATGCTTTTGTACAGATCTTGAGCATAATCCTTTCCCACCTTTTCAGAATTGCATCATTTCCAGCTTTGTTTTCTTACAAAGACTCCATCTGGAATCTGTCAGGACAGCAAGTTGTTGTTTTTTCTTCCCCGTGTGTGTGCCTGAAGTAAGAGCTGAAATCCAACACAGGGAGGGGTGGCTTTGTGGGTCAAGAGAGGGTGCTCTTTACTGGCACTTGTCACTTGTACAGGTGTGTGGTAGATGATGGCTGAGTCTGTTCAGCATCAAGGAAATCTGATGTAACCTTGTGTTATAGTTAGCTGTCAGTATGACCTTCCTTTAGGTGTAAAAAATACAAGTGTGCTTTATGATGCTTAATACGTGCTGTAGGAGGGATGGAGGATATGCAGTAAGTTCTCTGGAATAGCAAACTTATTTGTCTGGATTTTGTTCTGAATTCGTGCTGACTCCTGTTACTCACTTCAGCTATGACCTATCGCATCCTGGTGAGAAGCTAGCAGCATATATGTTAAACACTGTGTGTGTTACATGCCAGGTCCTTTCAGTGGATGCCTTTGCTCTAAAGATTTATTTTTTTCTGATCTTAATGTGATGTTAAAAACAACGATGTAGCTTTTCAGTAGCATTTATCCTGTAGTTAAATAACAGAGATCTATCTAGAGGGCTTTGCACCAGCAAAGTCTCCCGTAGCGTTACAACACTCGTAGTCTCTCTTAATGGGTATATCAAACTTGGGAAGGGTTGGAGGTGGATTGTGAAACTAATTTCTGGCTGGTGGGACTTAGTTACTACGAAGAGGTTGAGCAAGCAGTGGTAGTGCTTCGTGTCATTGAGAACACTTGTGACAAAAGGAAAATGGTAAAAGTACATGCTTTTTTTTTTTTTCCTGCTATTAACCTTTGCTCTGGACTAAAGCATATAGTTTGAATTTGGGATAGTTTTTATTGTTTTTTTTTTTAGCCACGTTAAGCTATGTGTCAAATGAGATTGAGGCCCATGCATATATGCAATTAGTTGTTAAAAGGGCAACTTGGTAAGTCTAGTGTTCTTCCTTGTGATCTGCAGTATCCCGGCTTTCACGTTTGGTGCTAAGCATTTCTTTATTCTGAGCAGCATTTCTTCAACGTGATGTAAGCAAACATCATCCAAGGTTTCCTCCTACTCGTAGATACTGCAGGTGGCAGTCATATTTGCATGTTGAATATGTTGCATTTCTGGCTTACTCTTTTATTACTGTACTTGTTTAGTGGTAACGTCACACCAGTAACACAGTTCTGTATAGATCTATGGCGATTGACTCCTACTTTGTAATTAAGGTGCTATTTTCAGACGCTTGCGCGAAGTCTTTTCTACTCCGAGAATTTGTGAACCCAACCAGAGACCAGCCAACAGGTTTCATTTTTCTTTGCCCAAAAAGCTTCTCTTTTTTTGTGAACAAGTTTTAAAACTGACTGATGCTGAGACTTAATAAAAAAATAAAATAAAATTAACAAATTAAAATAAAAAAAAAAAACAAAATTTAGAGAAAAATAAATAACGCAAAAAGTGATGTTACCCAAGCAAGGCCTTCTAATAAAGGAGTGGCCCCCTCACCCATCCCTCCCTACCTGTGCAAGTCCTGCTCACATCAGTTTCCTTCCATCCAATTAGGCGACCTGGGAGACCCAGCCAGCACCATCCAGAGGGACTACAGAGTGGTGATGGGGTACCTCCAAGAAGCTTGCAGGATGGAACCAGGGAAGGTTATGGCCACTCTACATCTCTTAAAGTACCGCTGGCTCGATCACTCCAGATTAGTGAAGAACTGCTGAGCAGAAACCAGTTTTCTACAGCTGCCAGCCATGGGCCATCTGGACTACAGAATCATGGACAGCACTTAATATTATCCAGGGAGGCTTCTTGGGCAAAACCACACTACGAATTCAATTTCAGCCGCATGAAATTCAGGGGAAATGGTGCACTCAGCAACATCAGTGACCTTCCTTTTCTTACAGAAAACTCTGCCTTTCAAAAAATGGCACTTCAAACTAAACAGGATGGGAAAAAGGACGTGAGCCATTCGTCTCCTGTGGATTTAAAGATACCACAAGTTCGAGGCATGGACCTTTCTTGGGAGTCCCGCTCTGGTGACCAGTTCAGCTATAGCTCTTTGGTAATGGGTTCACAAACGGAGAGCGCGCTTAGCAAAAAGTTAAGGGCTATCCTTCCAAAACAAAACAGGAGAAGTTTGCTGGATGCTGGACCAGATTCCTGGGGCTCAGATGCTGAGCAGTCTACCTCTGGACAGCCATATCCCACCTCAGATCAAGAGGGAGATCCTGGCTCCAAGCAACCTAGGAAGAAAAGAGGGAGATACAGACAGTACAACAGCGAGATACTGGAGGAAGCAATCTCCGTGGTGATGAGCGGGAAAATGAGCGTTTCCAAAGCTCAGAGTATTTATGGGATCCCCCACAGTACACTGGAGTACAAAGTTAAAGAGAGGCTGGGCACTTTGAAAAACCCTCCAAAGAAAAAAATGAAACTAATGAGGTCGGAGGGGCAGGATGTTTCAGTAAAGATTGAATTAGATCCCCAGGGAGAAGCAGCACAAAGTGCAAATGAATTGAAAGATGAGTAGGGATGTTGTAGAGTGCCAATTACTTTGCAAACTGGGTGAGCACTACTGCATAGTTCAACCACCATTGAGCACACCTCATTCTCCCATTTACTGCAATGCTCTTTTCCTTGCAGTTCAGCATAGACTTGTGTGGACACAAGTGAAAGGCGTGCTCTGAATGTCACACTTGTAAATTTTTTTCTAGCCTGATACGGAGCAGATTCCCTCCTTCACCTGCCCACTTTCCCTTTTTTACTTTCTTTTCTTTATTTTTTCCATTTGCCTTTTGCATGTTTCTCTGTAATAGAGAGTTGAGTTACCTCATAAAGATCGCAGGTCTGTGGAAGTGGACATCTTGCCTGTACAGCCCACCTCAACTCCCGCTGTTGGATGTTTTTCATATCGGTCTTTACAGAAACGAGTCCACTTTGTTAAACTGGTAGCCTCTTAAAACCAGGGTTTTTGAATGAGAATCAGACTGTCGTTCTTCAAAAAACGTTTCAGAAATTCTTTTTCCCCTTCCTTTTCTTCGATCCAGTTGACTTAAAGATTTAAGCTAAATCAAATAATGTAGGAAAGGCACCTCTCTTGAACTCAGAGATTTGCTTTTTTTGGTGGCTAATCAATTGGGTCTAATTAGGCTCTCTGCTATTTTCTTTCTAAATTCAGCATGCTAACCATTCGCTGTCTGCTTAGTGCTCACCCGGAGGGGAGGGGAGGGAAAACTTACAAACACTACCTTCAGAATATGTCAGTGAATTATTTGTAACACTACCTTCGCTGTAATTTTGTTAGATATTTTTGAAGGGTGATATTTGACTCACCTGCTTGAGGATGTAGCCTTATCTCACGGAAGACAAGCTTCTCATGGTCAGGAGCAGTCAGGGTACACTAAATGATGTATTAGGGTATGCCTCATTATAACAGAATTAAGGTTCTCTGTGACCTTCATGCTTTTTACAGACTTGATTCTGAGTTTACTAAACTACGTGGTTCCAACAACTAGTTTAAATGACTCTAATCTGGGGATGGGGGAGGGGGGGATATATGTAACAAACTACTGTGATCTTGTGCAAAAAGAAAGAAGAAAAAAAAAAGCCCACTAAACAGTGATCTCAAACGTTACAACCTCAGTAGTCTGCCCAAATATCCACATTAGTGAAGGAGCTTGTTAATGTTCAGGGAAGAAGTAAAACACTGGTAGCCTGACCTGGTTCAGGTTCTGTATCATATCTAGCTGTAATACTGTCAGGGTCGAACACTCAATGAATGGGTGTTTCCTTTTTAAA